GGGCGGAAAGGGGGGCCCGCCCCCGCCGCCCCCAGCACGGTAGCGGGAGCACCGTCCCCTCTGCGTGTCCCGGCTGGCCGTGTTGGCTTCCCGGCACCCTCCGGTCCCGGGAACCCTCACCCTTCCCTCCCCGGTGTGAAACACGGGGGCATCCCCCCAGCCACTTCCAGAGCATCCCAGCGAGGCTCACGGTCGTTATACTCGTGCTTCTTCCAGCGGTTACACGGGGCTGTGGTAAAATACCCAGCGAGCAGCACTGACCCCGCTGCACCCAGACGTCCATAACCACCTTCTTCACCCGCGGTAGCCCTGTGTCGCTTTGTGTCTGAGAGGTACTGAAGTCTGGTCGTGATAGAGCCAGCGCAAGGTTCGCTCTTATCCTTGGTGGCTTTTTTCCAGCAGTTTAATATTTTGCCTCCTCTGTGCTCCAGGTCACCGGCTGCCCGTGAGGCTCGAGGGAGGACTCGGCAAAAATGGGCAATGCACGAGCAGAAATGGAGGGACACAGGTCCTTCCCTGCAGAGCCTGGCCTGGGCCATGTGTCGAGGCAGCAGGTGGTTGCTGAGCTGTAGGTGCCAGTTGCGCCAGTTACACCTGATGGAAAGCAGATTTAGGGACCTCATCAACATCTTCCGCAGAAACCCTCAAATCCACAGCAAAACTGAGTCTCTCATTGCTGAAAGTGAGGCTCGAGTTCCTGAACTGGCTGTGCCGGTTGGTCGCCTCGGCACTGTGCAGACCACGCGGACGTGCAGGTGGCTCCAGCAGTGCCCTCGCCTCGCCCCGGGGAGCGGGGCCCTGCGGCATGGGGAAACGGGCGGCAAAGCATGGGAATGCACCGGAAAGACAAAGGACACAAGCAAGAACACTACTGTAGAGAAGAGGGGCAAGAGCAGAGGCATACAAGGGGAGAGTGAGCAGAAATAAGAAACAGTGGCCACTCTGCTGGGCAGTGGTTTAAGAGCTGCAACTGAAGAGGCTACAACCACCACACTATGCTGTGCATGAGCTACAGTGTTTTACTGAATTCACTCACAGCAACATCCCTTGGCACTTTTGGCCTCCTTAAACTGCCACCCATTCAATTCTAACTTCATTCCAGTCCCATGGCACTCTCCATCTAGTTTCATCCATTTCCTTCTCCAGGGCACCTCCAGGCTCTCTGATATTCCTGCTCCCTACTTCTTGGGTTTCATCCTGTGCTCTCTAGGCGCTGTATGGAGGAAGGTCAAATTTACAGCAACCCAAAAAGGTTTATGAGGAAGAAAGCTAGAAAGTTTATTCTGAAACCAACTCTATCAAAGGGGAAATTAGAGGTAAAATAAATTGTCCAGAATCACAGTGAGTCATTTTGAGCCAGGAACAGAACCTATTAACGCTGGCTGGCAAGTTTCTAACCCCTTCCCAAATGTCCAGCACAGCAAGGTCTCAAAATGCCCCTCACCTTAGCCAGCAATAGTTTTCAAACAGCACTTTCACATTGGCATTCAGCCCTGAGCTTTGCAAGAAGACCCCCCCCCGCATCCTCATTGTCCTCCAAACTGCTTCCCAAAGTTCATCTGAGTCATTGATTGCCTGTTAAAAGAGCTAGTCTTAGTGTGTTGAAACTACTGTCATGATCTTGTCATACTTGCGTTATTCTTACCTTGTGCCTTCCTCCTCCCTGCATTATATCAGTCTTTTATCTTGCCCATCATACTTGCATTTCAGTTCTCCTGGGCAGGGCTCACCTTTGTGTTGCCTTTGTGTGGAGCTCATCACATTGACATCTCAACCACTGATCAGAATCACCAGGTAACTTAAGGGCTTCGATGGGTTTTCAGTTTTTCTTCCTACCTGAAAGAACAAATGAGCCAAATTAAGCCTTTTGACTGTTTTTAGGTTTCTGCACCAGATATGTACTGAGTGCTTAGAGGCGGAGCCCCACGTTTTACCTGCAGCCCCCAAATCCCAAGTGCTGGCTCAATCTGTGATCCTTCTGCTGTCTCTGGAAAAAGCGCATGTTCAGCCTGGCATGCCTGGCAGCCTTCAGTCATGGCACTGGCATTGCTCTCTCCATTAGCTGAGCTCCTTTTCCTTTCAGTATTAATATCTGAAGCAATTGGTATGATGAAACAGGCCACGCAGTCATTTTCCTCCCCCTGCAAGGGTTTTGCTGTAACACTTGTGGGCTGTCAACATCTTCCCTATCCCTGGCTTGTTCTCCTGCAAAGGCTAATCTTCAGCCTGCTAATCCTCTCCCACCCTGCTTTCATCACCTCTTCCCTTGCACTGCTTTATGCCTCTCCCCTGCGCTCGCAGGGTGGCCCTCCTCTCACTCCCTCCCTCCCTCTCTCCACATGCCACCCCTCTCTGCAGCTTGCACAAATGTGATGTCACACACAAGTGTAGTGACAAGGTCATGAAAGAGAGTATGCTATAATTTGTCCATGTGGCACAAATAAAAATACACCATGCACTAGGGATTAGGTGCCATCCCCATAAAAGCCCATGCCAGGATTGCCTGAGCGGGACCTTCAGGTCCCGGTTAAGAGCCTTCCCTTGTTTCAAGGGTCTGGGGAAAGGTTGTGGACAGTAAGTATGTACTGAGAAAATTGTTCGTCATTCATTATTCCTTTTTTTTTTTTTCCCATCTCATTACTGATTAAATTTTTTTTTTCCTCAGAATTGTGAGGGGTTTGACATATTTACATTTTGTTGCTTGCCAGTTTGGGGTTGAACAGCATCTCCTTCCTTTTCATTCACTCTCACTTCAAGAGTATTCTTCCAAGCAATCAAGATCTATAGCCAGATTAAAGCTGATCTGGTATTTCCCAGTAGAAATACAAGCAAGAGCACAGCCTACGATCTTTTTAAGGCCAAGTAATGAAAGCAGGTGAAGTGGAACTCCTAAGTGCTTC